ATATATATATATATATATATATATATATATATATATATATATATATATATATATATATATATATATATATATATATATATATTACCGTACCTGAATAAGACGGGCATCGTGAGTAACACAGATTACTCCACCCTCGAACTCGTTGATTGCGTGGATCAGCGCGTCAATTGACTCAATGTCCAAGTGATTGGTAGGTTCATCCAGGAACAAGATGTGGCACTCCTTAAACGAAAGATCTGTATCCATAGCAAGTGAGTATCGATGTGTGAGTGTGACTACATGCACATACGTTTCAAATATCTGGATAGTGGGTTTCACCAGTATGAGTGCGTGTAAGCGAATATACGAGTCATTATCCTGGTTATGGGCCTGCGCATCCAGGAATGAACTGTGACAGTCCTTGAACTAGACGGAAGATCTGTATCAGTGGCAATGGCGTGTCGGTGTGTAGGCGGTATCCCTTTATGCATTCCACTAGTTTCAGATATCCAGATTTGGGGTTTTAGGGTTTGAAAATCTATACAGATATGTTCCAGACTCGCCGCGACCTCTAAGTGTGCACGAGTATGTGGGAGTTATAACGTTGTGAATGGTGCTTGGAGTATTCAGAAATAGAATTAAGACTCGCAGGGGAACCTTCATATGCACGGGTGGGTGGAAGTTAGGACGTGATTTTTCGGCTGACCATAAACGGAATGCAACACTCCATGCATTGAATGAGAGATCTGCACTTGTGGCACGTAATATAGGTGCAAAAGCACATCCCCACAACCACCAACCCACCAACCCCGTCTTCTATACACTACCCCACAACCACCAACCCACTAACCCACCAACCCAGTCTTTTATACACTACCCCACAACCACCAGCCCACCAACCCAGTCTTATACACTACCCCACAACCACCAACCCACTAACCCACCAACCCAGTCTTCTATACACTACCTCACAACCACCAACCCACCAACCCAGTCTTCTATACACTACCCCACAACCACCAACCCACCAACCCAGTCTTCTATCCACTACCAAAGCCTTAAAGGGGAATCGTACGGGACTTTCCAGCCTAAAATTTTCTGGTTTGCTTCTCGCTTGATATGTTTAATACATACTAACCGTACACGCATACAGCACCCCACAACTCTGGCCGCACACACACGTGCAAATGATAGTATACGCACACATGCCCCCTCAAACCTCACACAAGCACCTACCTACAAACACCACACGGGCCTTCTGCCCCCCACTCAAGTCCTTGATAGGGATCGTGTGCGCGTGTCCTTCCAGGCCAAACTTGCCGAGCTTGTTGCGCACTTCTTGGTACTTGAGCTGGTACTTATCCACCAAGTACTGCACGGGTGTCTTGTCGAAGTTGAGGATGTCGTCGAAATGCTGACTGTACATACCCACCCGCAGCTTCCTGTTGACTGTGATTTCTCCCTGTCAGTAGATGTGGGCGTGCACGTGGGGCCGGTTGGGTTAGTGTTAGAGAGGCCGGCAGGTGACTACAAACACACACGTGTCGATGAAGTGTATGTGGTAGCCGTTTATTTTAGCGTACATTGTAACATGTATCATGCGTGTAAAGAGTTCGGTGTGTGCGTCTGAGTGAGTAGATCAACGCTCAACGCTCAACTCAAATACGACAATCACATGCATGTGGCCAAGCTTTAGATACAATGGCATTCACACGAGACAAGACTAGCACCAGAAGTGCTCCATATCCCACTCACCAGCTCATACACCTCGCTCAGGTATCGACAATAACCAGAAAGTGCTCCATATCCCACTCACCAACTCATACACCACATTCGCTCACGTATCGACAACAGGAAGCGTCATCTCCAAAGTAAAATGAACATTGCCAACACTTGAGCCTTGAACTGCAGCGCAAAAGTCACATTGCCAGGAACATCCGATCTATTCGGGGATAGTCTCTCGATCGAATACCGTTCACACGGGAAATTACCACAATATGCGGCCAATGCACAGAAAACAATGAACTATCACAGCAGAGGCCAAAGAAGTCTCTCGAAGACCTCGTGCACGTGAGTATGTACAACACAAGGGAACACTCTACCGGCCAGGTACCACATACACATGCGATAATTGCTTCAGTACGTGTCATAGAAGTTCTCAAATACCACATACAAATGAGATAACTACTTCAGTACGTAACATTGAAGACCTCAAATACCACACACACTTTGAGATAATTACTTCAGTACGCGTCATAGAAGACCTCAAATACCACATACACATGAGAT